CGGAGGCCTGACTGACTGAGATGGGGGACCACAATAGGGTGAATCCAGACTGAAGGGGGGTGGGGAGTGACATTAGCATGAGAAAGCCCTCATCCTCAGCTCTCTCTTCCTCTTCACATTGTCTGCTCCGTGTCTTTGGGCTCAGTTGCAGAGAAGTCGCTTCCTTTAAAGAGACACCATTCCCTTTTTGCTAGGCTGTATGTCAGCTCCTTAGCAACAACCAAAATCAAACAGTGCTGACTTTTGAGGAAACATAGCTGGAGAGTAAAACATGATATTATCTGTGTTGCACCACCAAATTTGAGATGCTGTTACTCTGCTGAAAAGAGAAGTAGTTGAGCTTATCTGTATGGCTGCTAACAATACAATCAGCAGCAGTCGCTGTACGATCCACGTGTAGTCAGTGCATCACCAAGCTTCATGGATGGTCCGCTGACCCCCTGAACCCCCTGTGGGGGCCCCTAGATTAAGAACTGTGATGGGACTGTTAACCTTTCTGTTCAAAAGTCAATCAGTTGACTGGAAAATGACTCCAAATGCCACAAAATGAGAGAAAATGGATGAAAGATAAAGACATTCAAACCACTAAAAAGAGCCAGACGTTGACTGCAGAACAGCTATAAAATATGCAAAATGACAAAGAAACAAAACTTCTAGAAAGAGATGCAAAATAACAGCAATAATAAAAAAAATAATAAAAAAAAGATCTAAGGTGCTGGGGTGTACGGGTCAGAACAGTTTGCTTTTGCCTTGTTCATTTTTTTCTAAAGCTCACCTACAGCTGGCAGCGTTGTATGCAAGGATCCTCCATTTACTCTAACTATTGGGAGACACATGGAAGGGAAAGGATTGGAGTGGGAGACCTATAGTGTAGCTAAATGACTAAACTGCTTCCTGACAACTGTGCGCTCTCATCTTGGCAGGACTGTGGGAGTCAGATGACAATGCAGACCTCTCACTATTTTTTTTTTTTTTTTTTTTTTTTTTTAAAAAAAGGCGAAGGAATTTTGATAGAGTCCTCTCTGCTGTAAATCTGTGTAAAAATCTGGACGTGGAAATCTCACTCTTCTCTCTCTCATCCCCTACTACCTTGTACTCTTCCTCCCTCCGTGGGTGTTTGGTACACTAAGTGCTGCGTGATTGCCAGGGCCATGAGGCGGCACAGTTGGCGGAGGCGTCAACAGCCCTCAGCCAAGTGTCCTTGCTTCCCCAAGTGGTTTTGCAGGCAGTTCTGTGGTTGAGTGACAGTGGAGTCAGCAGTCTCCTGTCAGATAGCAGTATTCAGCAACAATGCTGCATGGCAACATGATGGTGGAATTTCCATAACAGCTCCTGTGTTGTTCATTTATAGACTAATTTGTCACGTAGGCTCACCACATTTCGGTCGCCTAAACAGGAAAAGTGCTTATGTGTGTGCATTATACACACAGGTTTGTTTGTTTTTTTTTTTATCCTACGTAATGTGGACCGTGTCTGCTGCAGCCTGCAAAATACTGTATAGAAGGACCTGTAGGGCAACAACACCTGGGTAGGCGGGAGAGTCGCTCTGTGCGTACTGGGCCTGCTTCCTTCTGAATTGTAACAGATGAAAACAGCTCTGCTCAGTGTTGGCGGTCAGAGCATGGAAGCAGCAGTTCATAGGGAATCGCACCTGAGTGAGGCCTTTCTGTTGCAGGATAATCATGGGTGGCACAGTGGTTAGCGCTGACAGCAAGAAGGTTCCGGGGCCTTTCTGTGCAGCATTTGCATGTTCTCCCTCTGCCTTTCATACAAACACAGCCACTATCTTTGAATCCTGTTGTCCTGATGTTAGTGTGGGCTGTCTGAGCTCACAGCTTGTTTACTGTTCAGAGTGATTAGTTACATTAGTGTTTCCATCTCACAAGCGTGAAAGGAATATGTATAATATGTAAGTTATGTTTTGTGTGTTCTTATGTCTCATCTGAATCATGTTGAGGTTCCTCGGAGAACTCAGCTTACAGAGTAAGAAGTCTGTTGTGTCTTGTACATATGACAATAAACTTTTGAAGCCTGCATGCTCAACCTCTTACTGCTGAGGTTACTAAGACTGTAATGAACTGAAATGATTGTAATGAAAATGCATTGTATCTAAGTAGTAAAGGCCTGTGCTGCCTTTTCAAACAAGCCTACAGCTGAGTGTGTGGGCTGTAGGATTACTGTGTTGATGTGGTGCTGAGCTGTGATTCTTATCAGTCTGTTGCTGACACTGAGAGCTGCGCTGCCTGGCTGTAATTTACACACTTGTTGTCAGACTGATTATGAGGGCTTGTTGAAGGTTAAGGCAGGTGTTTTTGTGTTCCTGAAACCCATTTCCTATTGCAGATACTGGTTCAGACTCACTTCTTCTGTAAATTACAGAGGTGTAATGCTGGTGGGTCATGGTTTCGTATAAGGAACAGAAGATTTAGTGTTAATATTTGGGTCAGTCTCTGAAACACCTCACAAGTTGCCCTGATTGGGATTTGTCATTATTCATCATGCACTGCTATTTCTGTCAGCAGTGTCGGCCGTGATTCATCTGCCAAGTTATTAATTAAAGCTGTATCTGATCAACAGCTTTAAGATCTTATTATACCGCCTACTCGTTTTGGTTCAGGTGTCTGTGTTTACCACACTGAAACTGATACAGATATGCAGCACCAAACATATTAACGTATCAGCAAATCCTGTGGAAACTGTGACACATCTATCTGGAGCCAGCAGGCAGTTAGCTTAGCATAAAACTGGGAGAATTAGTCCGGCTCTGTCCAAAGGTAATAAAGCCTGCCTGTCAGCACTTGGCCTCATTTAAATACAAGAGATGTAATGTGTTCATTTGTGATCTTCAGAGGTGCTTGTAGGTTTGTTTTTTATTCATTGTTAATGTTTCAGGGTTACAGTAAATGCCACATTTGACAATCTTTTCTTCTTCTCCCCTCATTAGCGGTCAGTTCGCTGTGGTCAGAAGATGTCGCCACAGGAGAACGGGCGTTGAGTACGCCGCCAAATTCATCAAAAAACGGCGCAGCAAATCCAGTCGACGAGGGGTGACGAGGGAGGACATTGAGCGTGAGGTGAACATCCTGAAAGAGATACAGCATCCAAACATCATCACACTGCACGAAGTCTTTGAAAACAAGGCCGACGTCATCCTGATCCTGGAGCTGTGAGTAGCTTTAAAGCTGTTGTCATCCTCATGAAGAATTCACTGAACAAGTGTAAAAGGTGCGGTGGCAAGTCTTTATAGTAGCCAGTGTTCATGATAGGTTGATTATAAACTTTGACTGTACCTGTAGCTTGTTCAGGATATTGTACACAAGGCTATTTTTTTTCTTTACCAAGCACCAGTTAGACCAGTTTAACAAAGTAATATGGAACTCCTAACAGTGTGTTTACATTACAAGTGTCCAGCTGACACATGTCTGTAAACAAACAAGAAAAGAAGAGTGCACCTCATTTACTAGGTCACCTTACAGCCAACAGTAATGAGTGTGGTGTTGAGAGCTGCAGCCCTGACAACATTCCTGACAAATAATCACAATAGAACTGTAAGGAAGACGCAGCAAGAACAAAACCAGTCCAGACCCACAGTGCAGCATGTGTGTGCATAGTAGGTCCCTGGCTCAGTTCCAGCTAGATGTAGTAAGATGGTGGAGCCAGTCACTGTGTGCTGGAAATAATATGTCAGGGTTTTTATTAAGATTTGGAGACGATCATGTGATAGATAAATGGCTGCATAGCACTGTGACAGACTGCGAAGTGAGTTTAGGCTAACAATGAACCAGTCATTGTAGGCTAGTTTATGAACTCTGTTTTCTTCCTCATGTGCAAACCTGTTCTAGTGTTTCCTCATTTTCAAAACACAGAAGTTATGTCTTTCCAAGCGACATCAACATGAACCATTTGTTACTCAAATGCATCATTTTATGGGCTGTTAAATTTCAATTTATGACAATAAAAAATGATAAAGTTTAGCTCCAGCTTGTGACTCTCATGTATTACATACACTCGAGTCACAGAGATCATGTTCTGTAAACCTGTGAAACTGAGACTTGCTGAACATTTTAACCCCGTATTGTCATTTCATAACACCTGAATGCTGAGGGTATTTCCCGAATCCTCATAGCCTCTTCTAATGATGCAGAATCAAAAATAATCCAGTCCGCTTGGTCAGTTTCTTGGGTAAAACAACTTTTTTCAGATAAGATAAGATGGTGACAGGAAACATCTTTTTGTTTTTTACTATTGCAACACAAAAGAGCAAATTAACAGTACAGAGGGCAGGACATGGAAAAAAGACAGTGAATACAGGACATTTTCAAATATCTCTCGCTGCTTTTTGTGAAAGTCGAGCCCCTTTCACACAAAGCCAGGCGTGATGACGTAATTTCTTGTCGCCGTTTTTGTTTATATGAGCCAAATGGACATAGCAGACAAAGTGATTAAAATCATATTTTTCTTGGATCAGGCTGGGTTATTTCTGATTCTGCATCGTTAGAAGAGTTCATGAGAATTTGGGAAATACCTTCAGAATTTGGGTGAGTGTTATGAAACAATGGCACAAAGTTAAAATAGTCAACTAGTCAATTTCGAACGCTCACAGAAGCTTGTCTCTGTTACTCGAGTGTAATTCATGAGTCGCCAGCTGGGGCTAGATAAAGTGGTCCATGCACCTCAGTGTCCAGTTATTTACAGAAAGAATAGAAGAATACTGTGTTTTTATGGAGGTGTATGTGTGGCGTTGGAGTGCTTGTGAGCTCGGTCAACCTTCATAACAGCCTTAAACACTATTGGCCTTACAAGCAGGTGAAAAGGTCGGGACACTAACGTTCAGTGTTGGGTGTGTACAGTCCACCAATTTCCATTTGATACATTTGAATACCACAGCAGCTTTGGCCTGGATGGTCCGTAATGCTGGGTGGGTTGGTCTTGGTTAGTAGTGGTGTATTTCCGGGGAGGGTGGGGCCTTGAGGGTCAAATATCTCACCTGTCAGTAATGTGTCTCAGCCTCTTGGAGGGCTCCCATCTTTTTAGACTCGCTGAGCTGGTTTGTCACAGTGGAAACAAATACCTTTTCCCCACTGCTAATGTTTTAGCTTGGTTTGGTTTGAACCTGCCACATTTCTTCTGTGTCAGTGACTTCTCTCTTTGCACGTGATCCCAGACTGACTCTGTGATGTTGAGATCAGGGCTCTGAGTCTGGGCTTCTCTTGCAGGGCTCCTTGTTCTTCCTGTCGCTGAGGATAGTTTTTATGACTATGGCTCTGTGTTTTTATTTAGTTAGTCTGTCATGGGTGTTCTATCCCATTGGTTCCCAAACGTACTTCTGTCTAGCGCTACCAGAAAGATGCACTCGGAGCTAATGTCAGTCATTTGGTGAGATTAAAGTCATATGACATTTGTCATTGTTAACTCTGTGTGGGCATATTGCTATGGGGGACTGATAGAGCTGAAATATGTTTGAAGACATATTAAATGCACCAGGCAGTAGTTCATACTTTTGGATTGGATTATATGACTGTGTGAAGCAGCCACAGTGCTCTCCTCTGTCTTCAATGACAGCATAAACACTGCGTTATTTGACCCGATATGGGTGCTTGCACATTTTCAATATCAGAAGAAGTAGAGTGTGATTTCTGTTAAAGTAGAGCCAGCTCTGATGTGTGCTTGTGTGTTGGATAACCCTGTCTGTTTTTGCCAGGAGCTCCTGTTTATTAAGGTGTTTTTGCTGGCTAGGTTTCGTGTAATGGAACTGACAGAGCTGCAACAAGGTCTGACGTTATATGCAACTTACCAAGTGCCAAATGCTGGGAGAATTTGGCTTCAGTGGTTAATTTAATAAACAGCTGGAGGAGATGTTAAACTTTTGAGATGAGTAGTTAATGCACTCTGGGTACAGAGACTGTCCGCTGGCTTTAGGTCAAAGGTCAGAGTGTTTATTTGTCATATGCACAGTTAGGAAACGTGTTTCCCTGTACAATGAAATTCTTACTTTGCCATCCACGTGAATGCCACAAAATACAAGTGAAATATAAAGTAGATGCGCAACAACACATCTAAATAGGCAGTAAAGCCTTGAAACGCTGACCATCCTGCTGAGGTGACGAGTTTGAGACGGAACTTTTTTTTTTCCATGTCCATGCTCTGTTAATCACTGAAGCAGGTGATGAAGTGAACATCCTAGTTAAAGAGTGGGTGTTCTTCAGAGGAAGGGTGGGGGCCCCAGCTGGTTTGCCGTTTCCTCCCTGAAGGGTGGAGCACTGTGTGTTTGTGGGTACTTGTAGGTTTCTGTTTCTGAAGAACAATTTAGCAAAGCATTTACTGGTGGTAATTTATGTTACAGCAATCTGAAAATAAACACATTTTTAAAAATTAAAGGTGCATTTAATAAAAAAAATTACAATAACATTGTTAGCAATGTTAAAATGGAACTAGGCTGCTGAAACAAAAGTGATGTGAGTCAGTTTAATTCCTCACAGACATTGTGAGACAAACACTTGTCTGTAGGAGCAGGTGGCTGAGTGAACGCTGGATAAGCAGGGCTGTAATTACAGTTATCTGTGCTTTTCCTCTGTCACAGGCTTTCACTCACATTATCATGCTGTGACCATAAGTCCTCTGCTCTCTCTCACCTCCACTGGATCTCTCAGGGCACCTCTCTGCCACCACCAGTTTCTGTGATCATTTAATAAGTGCTGAATGGATTTTATTAATGATCTTCAGGTCTGATGTGAAATGAACCCAATCAGACCTTTTATAAAATGTCAGTCATGTCAAGAGTCGAAGTCAGAACCTCGATAAGCACGAGTTGGTTTTTAGAGCCTTTCTATTACGTGATATTATGTTGGATTTCTTTTAGAGCCGCAACAATTAGTCAATTCATCAACTTGACAAGTATCAATCAGGATTTTATGCTTTTCTTTGTTGTACAGGGAAGCAAACTTAACCTATTTGGGTTTTAGATTGTTGGTAGAACAAGACAAGACATTTTAGGGTGTCATCTGGGGTTGTGGAATATTGTAACAAGCATTTTTTGCAGTTTGTTTTGCATTTCATGCATACAACAACTGACTGTTTGAGAAAATAAATCATGGATTAATAAATCATAGATTAATCAATAGTGTGACAGTAATCATTACTTGTGTCTCTAATCCATTTTCATTGATGATAATTAGTTTAGTTTGAGCCTAAAACCAGCCCAAACTGCTCTGGGTTTGTTTTCAGAGTTTCACTATTTTGGTGCTACATTTATGTTGATTTTGATAGAAAGTGTTACATTTCTTTTGATAAAATGTCTGAATGTTCTTCATGATGCTCCATTTCATTTCATCTTTACCTGGATTCACATTTTTGCAAAAGTTTCTTTCCTTAGTTCAAGATGACGTGCTGGTTAAGTAACAAGAACAATTTGAGTTTGTCCATTAAAGGCTCTGGTCATATTCCTCTTTCCTCATTTTCCCCTGTGTTGTTTTTAATTGAGGCATTTTATTGTTTGAATATGCTGTGAAGCAGTTTATTGAGAACCGTGTGATTAAATGTGCTTGGGACATGTAAATTGGGCTCAAATGTACCAGGATGATTAGATTACATCAGCTCAGCTCTGTTAAGTCTGTGATCTGAGCGATGTCACATTTTAACTCTTCCATCCAGGGTGGCCGGTGGTGAACTCTTTGACTTCCTCGCAGAGAAGGAGTCGCTGAGCGAGGAGGAGGCCACTCAATTCCTCAAGCAGATCCTGGATGGAGTCTTCTACCTGCACTCCAAACAAATCGCTCACTTTGACCTTAAGGTACCACAGCAACTAAAGACTGATAGAAGTTCTTCTGTCAGAAGGCAATCAGCAAGCTTCTGGGATCCTGTCCAGTTTGTCAGCTTGTGTTTTACACTGTGATGACTCTGCTGTAACCTTAAGCCGTGTTAGATCTGAAATAATTTGCTGATGAATGGATCAGTCAACCAGCAGATTAATATGCACCTATTGTGATAACTTCTCTGTGGTTTTGGTCAGTTATTAAGTAAAAACTCCAAAGTCTGTGACTCCAGTCTCTCAAATGTAAGAGATTAATACTCTGCTTTGTCTTATAATACTGTAGATGTGATAGCTAACTGGATGTTCCTCTGTTTTTTTTTGACTGATGGCAAAAGAGGGACTATGCAAGGACGATGCCATACAGTTCAACAAATGCAAATAAGACTTTTCAAGTGATTAGGCTCAGCAGGGTCCTCAAAATTTTAGAGATGGAGAGATTCATTCTTCTGATGATTGTGAAGATGACGACAGCAGCAGTTATAGGTCACCTGACTTTGGCACGACACAGTTGGATGTTTTCTTTGAGGGGGTCCCTCCTACACAGACAGACACACAAGACAAAACCCCACATTTATTGTCCTTATCAGAGGTCACAGTAAAGCCTTTAATTTAGCAGAAAAATCTGAATTAATCTTTTTTTTTTTTCCTCTGGTTTTGAAGCCTGTGTATCTGACTAATCTGTTTTTTTGGCATCTTTACTGTTCATGATGCAGCAGTAAAGGCCCATAGTGTGTGATGTTCTTGAACATTACACAACCTCTGTGTTTGGTGTATTTTTTAAATCATGTTTTGAGTTCCTTACTTAAATCTTAATCAATATTATTGATCAGTTGTCCACTTACAGCTGCATAAATGGCATCTTCAGTATACACAGTCCAGACTGGCTCCTCCACTTACAGGAAGGTCTTTGCAAATCATACATCAGGACATTTGGCCTCCAGTCCTACAGAAAATAATAACCTCAGTGCCCAGCCAGGCACTTATGATCAATGCCAGAGCTTTTACCAACCACTGCAGCCTCCGCTTGATATTAGCTGCTGTTATTCACTGTCTCGTAGTTGCTCAGCTTAAGATTTAATGTGATCAGTTGAATGGCCTCCTGTTGTACCACAGCATTCAACCTCAAAGGGTTCAGGTTCATTGTCTCTGCTATTTTTACCCATATACCCATGTCATCTTGTCTTTTGTCTGAGAGTCTAACTCCATTAAAAGATGTTTTGTCAGTTATAACTGAGGGCTGTTGCTGTGGATTTTAATTTGATGTCGCGCAGCTTTGACCCTGTGGTGACAGCAGCTGCAGTCGACCGACAGGGTCAGAAAGAAAAGCACCGCAGCTGACCTTTTTCTGACCTTTAATGATTATGCAAATGAAAAGGAATCTCTTTAAAGAGTCTACTGTAACAGCGATATTGTCAGTGTACTTACTGTCCTGAAGAGCCAGGCCAGACTCATGATTTCTGACTGATTACCAGTCGTGTATCTGCAGTTTGTATCTAAACTGAAGGACCAAACTGACATATTTTTTATAAAAGATGTTAGAAAAGACCCAGCTTGTAAAATTCCACAAACTTTAATTCCTCTGTACTGCATCACTGTTTACTGGTACCCTCATTAATACTGTGCTTTTCATCATGCTGTGAAGGGATGAGTGAGTTTGCTTGCAGTCAAAGCAAACCTCCTGCAGAAACTCCCGCCACACTCACGATGTAAAGAGTCCTGATGCTACAGTCAAACTAGATCAGTTTGTAACCTACATTTGATATAATTCTCCTTTGTTCCAACATAAACACATTTATAAAGCAGAGAAGAGACTAAACCAATAAGCTATGCTGGAGTTTGATTGTATTTTCTCACCACCTCCTGTTTCCACTGCTGCCCACAGCCAATCTGTTCTTGGTCGTCCCCAGACAAGCCTCAAGCTTAGCTCACAGTCAGGCTGAGAGCTGAAAATTAAAGGTTTGGAGGGAAGACATTTTCATCTTAAAGAAGCACCGTGTCCTTAGGAATGTCTGGTTTCTGTTGTTACTTTAAAAGCATTATTGCTGTCCTTTCCTGTCTCCCACTTCCTCGAGAGGTTTTTACTCGTGTTTTGCATGGGATTTCCATGGAGCCTCCTTCCTGCCAGACTGTTCCTGGTTTGGTCTCAGATTCTTAGTGTGTGTCCTACGCTCGTGATGAAATTTTATGTAGTTATTTTTAGTCTTCTTTTGACTAGAAAATCATTTCTCTGTTGGCATCACAGCTGATGTAAAGTGTTGCAAAGAGTTTGTGTTTTATAAAAATGTCAAATGTCTCTCCACTCCTCCCCATCTCTGTCCTTTGTCTATTTCTCCAACTAATTCTTGACTCTCTCTCTTTTTCTTTCCTTA